TGAATAGATAACGCGCACATGAGACTTAGTTTAGAAATCTATTTTATAACTACTTAGAACTACTTAAGTCTAATCGCACGCATCCCGCGTCGTCCAGCGATGTCTTGAAAAACCTGAAAAGCTGAAAAGAAACAGATTAGTAAATGATTAGTACAACGCAATAAAATAAATATAAACAAATTTAAAAAAATAAAATAAATATAAACCATAAATATCAACTAAATGGAGTGAACAACCCAACGATGAGACATTCGAATATTATACGAAATATATAGAAATGAAAATAAATATGAAAATAAATAGAAACGGAAAATAAAAGCTGGAAAGTGAAAAAATAATTAAAACCTGAAAAAAGAAAAAATAATTAAAAGCTGAAATAAAAAAATCTCAGATAATTAATATCTGAAAACAAAAAATAAATGATTAGTAAATTGTTTAGGGGGGTGGAGTGTAGGTGGAAGAACCAACCCCAACCACACTTCGAATCCACCCCCCTCGCGCACAACGAAAAATTTAACGTGTCACTTCCGAAGTCGAACTGACAAATGACTTTTGATACGTCGTGTCGCTCCTTATATAGCCGCCAATCGGCCGAGCCCTCCACCCCAATTGACAATTTTTTAGTTTTGCTGATTTTATTAATTATTAATTTTCCGCTCTCATAACCAAAAATTTATTAATTTTTTCACTTTTACTATAGATGTACGTTGCAAACAATTTGTTAATAACAATATTAATTTGTTATTAACAATCAGTGTAATAATTTATAAACTTTTTGCAAATTATAGTTACATTTTAACGCAAGTACGTTATAAATTCAAGCAGAAATTAGTAATTTATTAATTTTTTCACTTATATTATAAATTTACTTTGTGAACAATTTGTTATTAACATTATTAATTTGTTACTAACGATAAGTATTATAATTTATAAATTTTATTTATCTTTCTGGAATATAAATTTCCATGATGCATTTATGTGAAGTATTTTTATGCTTCATGAAATTTGTTAATAGTAATTTCAATTTGTCATTCATGATAAATTTCATAATTTATACATTTTTTATAAATTATAACTGCATTTGCATTTCCGTATGATGAATTTCCATGATATGTCCATGGTATGTCAATATATCCTTATTTCCTCTCTATTTTTGGCAAAAATTAAATATTACACGAAAAATGAATGTAAAATGAAAAATAGATTGAGAAAAAACTACCTAAAAGTATGACCGGGAATTGAACTCCGGTCCGCAAGCATAGGAATTCTCGACTGTCGCCGTTAGACCACGACCTTACATGAAAACTGTCGGAAATAACGTATAATTATAGTAATAATAAAACTTCAATCGTAAATATTTTAAAAACTATAATAATGTATTTTCTTAAACTACATGACGATATCTACAAACCTGCAAAATTTCAACTAAATCGGTGACCCGAAGGACTTGCACTCTCCTTGTTAGTTTAAGAAAATGGAATGTTAATATGGACTCGAATTGAAAATATAAGAAAGTATAACATATAATAAATATTTTCTTTTTATTGCGTGTAAATTTCAAGATTGTTTAAACCAAAAAATACAAAAAAATTTGAAAATGAGGATAGAAAGTAAGGAAACTTTTCTGAATGGCACTCACGGCCGATCAACATGAGAACTTGGAGGGAGACAAAAAATAGACGAATAGATACGAAATACAAACTTTTGGTTTCGAGCATTAAATAGTTTCCAAGATAATAATGAAAAAATATTGTAAATTATAAATAACAATATGTGCCATCACTAAAATACATAAAATGCGCTCGCAACATTTTCGTTATGTATTAGCCTCACATCATTGTCGATCAAATTCTTCCTAGGGACATACAACGTTATAATAGTGGCACGGTCTTTGACTCTATTAGCGAGAAATTGAATACAGTGTCCTATACACCTACATCTATATCTAAAAAGATATAAAAACTTGATGTTTTACACTTAATTATTTCTTAACCTATAATTCATTTTAAAAAATGTTTCAAATGAAACTTACCCTATTTCATTAAGGGGGACATCTTATAGTGATCATAAATTTTTGCTAAGTGGATGTGCTTCTGAAATTTCAAAGTGACCATGGTCATTTTTAACGGAACTGTATATTTTCGTTTATGTAAGCGTATAGTACTCTTCGGAGTGAATTCATTGAAATACTTTGGCTTTGAATGTCGTTCAAAATCATTTAATACTATTTAAAACGTATCTTGATTAACCCTTTGCATGCGAACGACTCTCTGCCGAAGCGCTCCAAAGAATACTTTTCGCTCGTGTGAGCTCTATTGATTAACTGTTCAAAGCGCAACTAACAAATTATTATTTTAATTATTTTGTACCAGGTTAAATAATAAAAGAACGTTATTTTTAAGCATCAATTATCTATTAGAATCAGTAAAATTTACGCATTTTCGCATTTTCTTTTTGCTGATTGTGTTTTACCCGAATAAACCCATCCTCGCGTCTATTGTTTGTTTCATCATTTGTCTTTTTTTACTGCCGTTGCTAAAAAACACACATATATTTGTCTCACATAATATGTATATGCATCCACGCACTCTAAGGGTTAAATGTCCTGAAAGATTATCTCCCTAGATTATTTCGTCGTTTCATATGTAAACATAACACGACTCACATGAATGATTGTTTTTCCTTATATTTACAAACAAAGGAAAGATTCAAAAATTGATTAACCTTGAAAAAGTTTCTAAGAATGCAAAAAAACACTTACTTTTTAGTTAAAAAAACGAAAGCGAATCGCACTATTTTTATTTGGTGGCGATATTGAACATTAATTGGAATACATACTGTAGTACTTGCATAATTAAAAAAAGGAGTCCATAGTCTTACCTTCTCCCCCTGTATAAAATGTTTCAAAATTAGAAAACAATTAATGAATAGCAAAGGATAATGAAAGAAATATCCTTTGTCTAATAAAATTATCTATATTGTTCTTTTTTGTAGTAATAAAAGTTAAAAAATATAAATTTTGAACTCCTATCAACAAGCAGCTCATCTGCACGAATAACCAATAGTTTTCGATATTTTGTATAATCAAATATATACATATACACCTTTTATCATTTCTTATTTGTATGATGCATCATTAAATAAATAAGATAATTTGAACAATAAAAAAAGAAAACATGATTTTAACTTTATCTAAAACTAATCCATCCTTGGTAACTATAAATGTAACTTAAGGAACTCACTGAACAACGCAATTCCGTATACTTTGAAAAGTAGAAATTTGTTACGATATAATGCAAAATATCGGTGTGATAATTAAATAGTAATAACGAGAAGAGATTTTAAAACGTATTAAAATGGACGGTTTATCAGAAGATGACAGTTCTGATAGCAGTAGTGATTATTTGGTCGATCCAGATAAAATTAATTTAAGTTCTAATTTCTTCACGGAAAAACCAAAAGCTGTGACAATTAAAAATGACAGCGAAGATGAAAGCACCGATGATGAAGATCTTGACGATGTCAGTCAAACGAATAATATTGAACTTTTTACTCAGGTTTTAAAAAATTTAGAATATTCGCAAAAACTCGAAGTTAACAATGAACACACCGAAAAAGAACAATCGCATGCAGACTATTCTATATCACAGAAGAAAGAAGAAAAAGTGCAGAAAATAAAAGCAAAAGAACAAAATACCACATCATCCAATGAAATAGATGAACTTTTACTTCAAGGTGAAAGTTCATCCAGCAAAAAATCTTCTAAACATAAAATAGTAAAAAGTGATGAAAATATTGAACCTTCTAATGAATATACTATTCCAAAGGACGGTATTAAGATTATTTTACCAGGTTCTAGTTTAATAACGAACAAAAGAAAGAAAGGAAAACAAGATGTAAAAGCAATTTTACGTAAACGCTTAAGAGCCAGTCAAATATTGATAGAGAAAGTGGGATTGCTTTGTTGGTTGGCTTATGGATTTCATTTAAATTATCAGTTAAATCAGCCTGAGATAATGACTGGCGTATTGTCATTAATTTCTACTTGTAATTATCCAAAAGATAGAATTGATCTCTCATATTTAGAAAAATTTACAAAATGGTTCAAACATTTGTTTACATTTGATTTCATTGAAACAAATGCTAATAAACAAATAAATAAAGAAACATTGCTAAAGATACTGAATGAAAAGAAAATTTCTAATTATAAGGAACTAGTATTGCTGTACATTGTTACTTTAAGAGCTTTAGGTCTAAATTGTAGACTAGTTATCTCTCTTTGTCCTCCTCATCGGATTTTCAGTGATAGTCCATTGTTTAAACCCAATCTGAAAGAGCAAAAAACTAAATCAAAAAATAAATCTAATGCTATCAAAAAACAAATTTCCAAAGAAAAGGAAATTTCTGATAAATCATCTGTAATTCAAAACAGTCTGGAAGCAAAGAAGAATGCTAATTCAGAAGCTAAAAAGAAAGCAGCTGAAATTTTACGTTCAAAATTGCAAAGTAACACAAAAAAAAGTAGATTTGATACTAGTAAAGATGCCAATATTGAAAATAAAGTAACTCAAAAATTGAGTTCTAAAAAAGTTGAAAAAAGAGATGAATCTAAATCTGTTGATCATGAAAAGAATATGTCTAATTTAAGACAATTAAGATCTCGCAAAATTAATGTTAATTTTGAGAATAATAAAGCAATAAAATTGACAGATGTGACTTCAAAGACTGATGGCACAAAATCGAAATATTATATAGAAGAATCGACAGATTCTGAAGCAGAATTTCAGCCTAAACCAAAACGTGTAATGAAAAAAAATTTGAATAATGTTAATGAAAAAACATCACAAAGTTCTACAAGTACGAAGAGAAGTAATAGAAAATTATTGTCTTCTGATAGTGAAAATGAAGAAGCAGATAAGACAAAGAAAAAGCAAGATATTTGGGCTGAAATATATTTAGAGTCAGAAGAAAGTTGGATTTGTGCAAGCATAATAGATGAAAAAATTCATTGTGTATCTGAAATATATGTAAGTGATTTGTAATCAAAATTTTATTATATATATATAAAAACGTATTATAATAATAATTTTTCTTTATTATAGAAAAAAGCAACAAAGCCTGTATTATATGTAGTAGCTTGGAACTCTGAAGGTTTAGTAAAAGATGTAACTCGACGTTATTGTTCACAATGGCTTACAGTTACACGAAAACAAAGAGTTGATGAAAAATGGTGGCTTGAAACATTATCTATCTGGAAAGAAAAAAATACTGCTATATCTAGAGCTGAAGATGAAATGCTTCTACAAAAGTATTTTAATTAAATATTCTCATTTATTATAAATATTTTTTTTTTATTTCAAAATCTCATATTACAGGGAATTAGAACAGCCATTGCCTAAAACTATTGGTGAATGCAAAGGTCATCCATTGTATGTCATTCAAAAGCATTTACTCAAATTTGAAGCATTGTATCCTCCAGAGTGTGTACCTTTAGGACATATTTCTACAGGTGATGCTATTTACTCTCGTCATTGTGTACATACTCTTTGCTCAAGGGAAACTTGGCTTAAAAAAGCCAGAGTTGTAAAACCAAATCAAGAAGCTTATAAAATAGTTAAGGCTCGTCCAAAATATGATAAAGTAATAATTATTTTAATGTTCTCATTTACGAATATCTATTCCATAAAAGATAATAATTAAACATATAAAATGATTTGGTTACAATAGCTTTCAGGAATGAAAATTAGAGATTCAGCATTAGAATTATTTGGTGAATGGCAAACTATGGAATATGAACCACCAGTAGCTAAGGATGGTATTGTTCCACGAAATGAATATGGAAATGTAGATTTATTCAAAATGTGTATGCTTCCAAAAGGCACTGTTCATATAAATCGTAAGTTTTCCAAAAATTAACTGATTTATAATTCATAATGCATTATATGTATTCCATACTAAACGTGTAGAAGTTAATAGATTAATATTTATATAAAAATTTAACTAATATATTATATTATAGTTGCAGGATTATATCGAATCGCTCGAAAACTTAACATTGATTGTGCACCAGCTGTGGTGGGCTTTAATTTTGGACCTATGGGTGCTGTACCTGCAATTGAGGGTTACGTCGTTTGTTCTGAATACGAAGACACATTGCGAGAAGCTTGGGAAGCTGAACAAATAGAGGCAGCTAAACGAGCCAAAGAAAAGCGAGAAAAACGAGTCTATGGAAATTGGAAAAAGTTAATTCACGGTTTGTTTATAAGAGAACGATTAGCAGCAAAATATGAATTTTCGGAGGAAACGAAATCAATAGCTAACAAGCGGAAAAAACATAAGAAATAACTATAAAAGAAATTTCTAAATTATTCTGTAAAAATATTGTAATAAATTATTACTAATAATGCATGATGAAAAGATATTATTTATGATTATATTATGTTATGGTTTATAAATTGGAACAAAAGGAAGGTAGTTGATACAAACTAGTTTACATCTTATTCAGTATTACGAAGAATGGTACAAGTCTAACTTTTATAAATTATGAAATTGTGTAAAATTGTATATTGTCAAAATAGTTTATCAAAAACAATATATGAACATATTCTTTTTATTAGATTATATTTTTTACAATTTATGTAAATGCAGTTTGTATATCTTTTTAGATACTTGGTATAGTATTTTTGTTATCTTTCAATTAATATTAAGTGTTTATTTCATATAATATATATGTGATAATTGTAATATTTAAATTATACAAGATATTTCTATACAATGTACATACAGGATTTTTAAAGAATTATATGCATAATAAATTGATATATATATATTTGTATATACCTATATCGATCTATCGACTTGAAACCGTTATTATTTCATATCGATACATCAATATACAGCAGAAACATATCGATGTACAGGATTTAAACTTTGTATACATACAACAGTAACTTTGCTACACAGTAACGGTTGTATCTTTTATTAAAATATTTTTTTAATGTAGTTATTTGAAATTTTTTAATTAAATATGGATCAAGAATATTATTCTACTTTATATAAATGGTAAATACACTTATATAAAATCTCAAGATTAATATGAAAAGTGAAGGTTAAGTTTCGTAAATGATTGTTAAAATTTATATTTTGAATATTATATTATTCAAAATTAAAATAATATATTTGCATTAATATAAGTAATTCATACTTTATTACTTAATTCCATGTTTCAAGGTTTGAAAAATGTGGAGTAATATCAAATATAAGAACGCATCTTCGCCAAAATTTAATAAATGCGTTAAAAAGTAAAGATATTGTTTTAAAAAGTGATGGTCCCAAATCAGCAAAACAGTATGTTTACGATCTACTAATAGCAGAATATTTATTTAATCACAATTATGCATACACTTTATCTGTATTTGCCAGTGAAGCACCAATGTTAATTAATTTTTCAAATAAGACAGTTCAAAGACCTGATGGCAGTGACGAGGATAATAATGGAAAATTACAAAGTGATTATATATTGCATGCTCTAGAAACGTTAGGTATTAATCCTCATGATTCCAAAGGACAGTATGTTATATCACAGTACATAGAAAGTGATATGCCTCTCCTTTTATGCATACTAAAGTGTATAACTATGTTTTCTTATAACATATATAATGATGTTCCAATAAAGGAAACAGTATCTCTTTGTAATGAATCTACACAAACTGAATTTTCTTGGCAAGCTCACAATTTATACATAGAAAAATTATCTAAATTAAAAAGGAAGATATTTGTACACAAACAAACAGTTAACAATAAATTACATGAAAGGGAAATGATGTTAAAGAAACAGGCAGTGTTCATTGAACAACAACTTGAAACATTAAATACCAAAATACATCAAGTTCAGGTAATGCTAATTTTTATTCCATAATTGAATTAAAATAAAGTGAAAAAATATAAATTTTTATTTACAAATATTTAAATTTTATAGAATGTTATGCATAATATGAGTTTAAAAGAAAAACAAATAAAAGAAAAGAAGCAAAGTAATGAACAACAAGTTTTACAAAAAGAAATGGAGTTAACATTGAGAGAAAAATTATTGTTACAAGAAGCTGATAGGTATATATATACAATAATGCAAAATTGAATTCAACCAAGTTTGGAAGACAATAATTGAATTTAACTGAATAGGATAAAAAAAGAAGAGATGTAACGAGAGCAAATGAGATACAGTACATTGAGCAGCGGCAGTCGAAATTTAATACTTCAGTAGGACATTATCACTAGAGAAATTTTATTTTTCCTAATTTTTATATTATCTTTGTAAAAGTAGTACCAATGCATTTATTTGGTTCTTCCATTTAAAATGAGTTAAAGTAGGATATAAATCAAACAAGTTTTAATCATAATAATTAACTTGATATTGACAGCAAAATGAAACAAAATAATGCGATTTATGTGATGTTTGGACTCGTTTTAATTAGATTTTCAATAACCTATTGGTATTATCTTCAGAAAGTTAAAATGAAAATTATCAAAAGCAAAATTTTCTTTACTATATGTTTACTTTTACAAATATTTTCTCAAATATTTTTTTAAACAAATTTTGGTTGAATTAATCGAGCATTACTGTATACCATTTATAACAATAAATTAATAATCTTTTAGACAATTATACATTCTAATTTATTTAGGTTGCAAAAAGAACAAGCTAGTCATAAAAAAATAGATCAAGACTTAAAAAGAACACATGAACAAAAAGGGATACAAACGGAGTTTTCGATACAATCACATAATCATTTTTTAAGAAACATTGAAGTACAAACGGATTTTATAATTGACATGCAACAAGAAGATAAGATTGAGATTCTCACTAAAGAAAAAGAAGAATTAACTGTTCTTATTCAGGATCAACAATTAAGAATAGAACAAATAACTCAACGGGCTCTTCAGTTGTCTCGACAAATAGAAGGAATACATTCTTTAAAACCCACTAATGTGGAAGTCCCAGCACAAATTGTCAATGCAAATACAGTTATTAGTGAGAGTAGTTCAACAGAAGATATTCTTCAAGATGCAAAATTAAGGCTTAAACGTTTGGAAGAAGAAAGTTTAAAAGCAGATCAGTATTATTATAACTTTCTCAATAATTCACCATGATATAATGTAGTGATATAATAGGAATAAAATAATTCAATTCATAAAAAAATATATATAAATACAGGGTAGATGAAAAATCGTAGCATAATCGACCCAGGGGGTAATTCTAAGTAAAGAAATAAGGAGAAAATGTACATAATTTTTTCATCTAAGGCTTCATTTTCGAAAAAATCGAATTTGACGTTTGTTATTTTACAAGTACTGTTGGAAATATTGTCCTTGTTGCTATTATACTTCTTCTAACAATGAAGACAACGTATCCTATAAAAACTCTAAATATCTGTTTCCATTTAAATTGTCTAAAAGAACATAAGATACATTGATAATCGAATGATCTATAATCGAATATCTATCCAAACATTGATACTCATAAGATCCTAAGCACAAGCATTTCTGTCTAATGATCGATGTGTATTCTACTTCGTGTGTTTGTGGTTTGCTCCATTTCCTGTATGACTTTTCTATTTAGATATCAGCGATTAGGAAATTGTTCTGCGTAATATCTATTTTTGACGGAATCGTTACTTTGGCATGCTCCAAAAGCGAGTAACATGTCAACATAATTTTGATTTAAATTCTCATAACTAGTAGATTTGCAACAAATAAAACAAAATATCTGGGTATTTTCTAAAGTATCCTATCATTATCAATACTATAAACACTAGCACGAGCAGAGACAACCAGTAATAGAATATAGGATAAGAAAATTGCATTGCGCGGTAAGCAAACTTCAAAAACGAAACTCGAGATGAAAAAATTGTATACCACATTTTTTCTTTATTTTTTTAAGTAGAATTACCTCCTGGCCGGTTGTACTACGATTTTTCACCCACCCTGTATAAAAACGTAATTTTTACGATATAAAATTTATGTTTATTGCTTTACACAAAAAATTATATAATAATTTTTCTTGATTTTTAAGAAGGAATTGGAAAAAATAATTAATAATATAAATGCTATATCAATAAATTTTTATTGTGATCATCGATGATTCCTATTATAAATTATATAAAATTTTAATTATATGTACAAATTTAAGACTGAATAGAACATGTACCAAAGTGCTTCTGTTACCTAGTTTATTTTATAAAATTGGACGTTAATATAATATACAAATTATTCGCTAGCTTTTTTCTTTATTATTTGAATTCTACCTTAATTACATGCAACACCAAACGTAGTATATAAAATGTTAAGTCAAATTTTTTCCATTGTTGTACATCATCTTCGTTTGGGATCCGAACTTCTCCTAGTACTCAGAATTAAGGATTATATCTTTCTTTTCTTTTAAATAATCAAAAATAAAAATTATTTTCTTATTAAATTTAATAAATATGATATTTTTTTAAATATGTATATAAAAGGATATTGTTTATCCCGGCTTTCGCGGCCTTCCCGTTCATGAGTACGTTCCTTTGTGTAGGGTGACTTTTCCTGAAAATACATTTGCATATGAATCTTCTGAATGCAATGCTATCCTGCAATTGGCGTTTGGGTATTTGATAGTATCACCTAGTTTTTCTGGTCTTTGCTATTGTCTCCCATTTCGTCTTTTCAATGTACTCGAAGCGGACGTCTTTATCAACTAAGGGGTCAAGGAATAGTGTTAGAAAAATGATTAAAAAGTTAATTTATAGGCAGAATGTTTTGGGACGAAATGTAAAACTGATGTTACGGGATGTACGAAAAAAAATGTGAACGTTTTTTTCTTTAAATGTGTTTGTCAAGTATGTTTGTATTTTTGTATCAATAGGATTATCAATGTCACACGCGGAATTTTTCAAGTTTATTCAAATTATTATAGCTCAATATTGTTTTCTACATATGGGAAAGACAAGTAATGACCTACGCGTAATAACCAATTTTATAATTGGTGATCAAAATATATGTATACTATTTAAGGTGACCATTTTAATAATATACAAATACCTTAAAAAATCTACTTAAATTCGAATAAAATATTGTATGAATAAAATATTCGAAATTTCTTAATGTATCCTAAGAAAGATACAATGTCGTATCTTTGAAGCATGAATAGTAAAAAATTTCAATTAGACTTACTAACCTTGTTGTAATGGTGCTTTTCTCTATGCTCAGGAATATCACCATTTTGATGTGTTCCTTTTGCTAAAAGCATTTCCATTATTTACATAGAAAAGGGGATATTAAAATAAATTTTAAATTACCAGAAAATTTTTTACCTTTTTCGTCGTCTTTTCTTCTTTTTTGTTCAGTTGTAACTGTTGATTCATCCGTTCTATCCTGATTAATAAGAAATAAAACATTATGTACATAAATAATATATGTTAAGAATGCATTATTTAACACATTAAAAATTCAAAATATACCCTTTTTCGTGCAAATTTCCTTTCTCTACGTTGCTCTTTTTGTTCATCCCTTATTTTGCCCTTACTCGAACGCTCCTTTTTATCAAGACTTCCTTCTGCACGTCTTCCTTCCTATTAATATTAAAACTCGAATTATACAAATATGTACAGAAAATGTTACTATAAAATTTTAAATCATTTAAATCATTTAAATCATTGTTACCTTTTGTACATTTTCAACTTTTCTTCTTTTGGCATCTAAAATTAGAGATTATTAGTTATTATTTTTGTAATGTAGAATAAATTATGTATGTTTAAGACATGCATCTTTTGTCAAAGATTTTTTTTAGTGTCATTTTGATAAAATTTTATCTTTCTTAAAAAATACTATAAGAACATTGGTTTATTCAATGTCATGACAATGCTTGTAACATCTTAATGCAAACCTCTATCTGATCCATCTTGCGTTGGTCCAGAACTAGCACTACTATTTGACACACTAGAAAGGTCGCGGTCTAAATTATCTAAACCACTGCCATAATAATGTTCTTCCTGTAATTAAATTAATAACGTAGCAATGTATTTATTGAACAATAGAGAATAATTTGCTTAAAATGTATAATTACTTTATAATATTTTCGATCTTTTTTATCTATCGTATCATCTTCTTTAATTTCGTCCTTTTTTAAATGTTTATCTTTTCCTTCTGAACTTTCCTTACTTTCTTCTTTTTTTCTAATTTTTTCCGAGCTATCACTAAATCCAATAAAAATTCGATAAATATGTTTGAATAATTAATTTAATTTAAAAATAAATAAATCTAATTTAAATAAATATTTTAATTAAATTTCAATATATATTATGTGAATTTTAATGAAGTAATTTAAATATATATTTGAATAACTTACTGATGTAACTGATTGGATGCACTTCGTTTTTCTCGTTGATCTTTACTTTCTTTCTCTATTCTAGTGTCGCCGTTCGTAATTTCTTTACTCGATATTCCATCGCCAACTTTTTCCGAAGTATCACTATTTGGAGTATCTTGTGTTTTACCAGTCTATTAGAAAAATACAAAATATGTTTCTTAAATAAGAAAAAAGTATTTATTAATAAAAGTAACACAGACCTTATCACCCACGTGATGAAAATCTGCTTCACGAATCATGTTTGGAGTTTTAGCTTTTAATTGACCACTGTATGACGTAGCCAGAACATGTAAATCTTGCCGTTGTCCACGTTCTTCTTCCCTCACTTTTTCTACTTTACGTTCAAGAATTTGAGATAATTTAGCCAAAACAGGGAAATGTGGCAATATTTTTATTAATATTATTAAGGAATTTCTTATTTGTACATAATCCTTAGAATCCAAACAAACTACAATCGCCTGCAAGATTATATATACCATTTTTGTAAATCAATTTGCAATTAAAAAAAATATTTTAACGTACAATCGCTACCTTTGTAATTTTGTAATGCCACTTATGGCACACATGCCTGTAATTTTCAAATCCGACCATATCATTTGCTTCAGAAAATTGATTGCTAACACGGAATTTTGTTACAAATCCCGGATAATTGCTACATTCCTAAAAAAAAGAAAAAAAAAAAAAAGTACAAATGTAATGTACAAATCTTTCAAATTTATAGAGAATATTGTAGAATAATATACCTTATCGAATATGGCTTTCTCAGAGTGCCATCTCATTACTGTTTCCAGCATGGCGCATAAAAATCTCCCGTAACGATTTGCTTCGTTTTCGGTACATGAGGTAACTGAATATGTTATATCACAGAAAAGCTGGAAAATTAAATATAAAATAAATAATATAATATTTAAAAAATAAACTGGTTTTTTTTTTTTGTTTAAGTAAATCATAAATACTCTTTCGGAACAAACAAGGGTTGA